AAAAAAAGGGGGGGGGGGGGGGGGGATGCAAAACAAAAAGCATAAATATACATGATATGAATTCATACTTCTGTCAAATGAGCCTCCCGTGACATGTCCAGGATTCCCAAATCAGATATCCTATCTGGAGTTGATGGCGCTTCAGCATGGCAAGGAAGAGCACTGGAGTTGTTATATTTCAGAAAATTCATTGCATAAACCTTGACAGCAAGTGCACCCTCCTTTGGAGATTGCAGCTCCAGATCTTCACGTTTCTCCTGCCACAACAACAAAATGCTTAGATAAAACTCCATTTCCAACCCTTCTCACTTAATATTTAATGAGATTAAAAAGCTGATTCGAATTCAATAGAGGATGAAAGACAACTAAACCCAACTTTCAATTTTATTAAGAAAGTAGCATCATTACTCACGAAGTTAACCCAAATCAAAAGGATGTGTTAAAAATAAAAAAGCTTGGTAGCCAAAGTCATACGTCCTAAATAGCACGAGAGCTTAAGTTCAAACTCATTAGACTGGAGTTGTCCTAGAATGACACGTTAAGAATGTACATAGACAACTAATACACATCTCTCTTTTACATACAAATGTCGCATTTCGTCTTTGCAAAATAAGCATAATTCTAACCAGATATTGAGACAATTCTTAGCCAATTCTAGAGGGTTACAGAAAAGTGGGTAATAAGCTTCCAATAACAAAATGAATGAAATAATGAGTATCACACATACAGAATAATTTAAATTTAAAAATTAGTTAATAATTGTGTTTTTTACAATCTAATAATCAATAGATCCTTTTGACGGGTCTTTAAATTGCATTGCATCTGCCTCATTATTAATCCGATAATCTCGATTGAGAATGTTATCAGAAAAGGACGAAAAGATGACTCTAGCATCCAAGAAAAATATGCCATAAATTAATTCACATAGCAATCCCCAAAGGAAAAAAGAAGATACGTGGTAGAACCACAAAAGCCAGCCTATAATGGATGAGCTGCCCTCATAATAATGAAAAATATCCTCCATGTCAATACAGGAATAATCCATAAGCAGGGAAAATGACTAAACAAAAGCAGAAGCACCAAAATTACCTGTACAGAATGCCAGAACTCCATGACAGCTTTGGCCAAGTTATAAGCTACTTTCTTTACCTTCATGTCGGAAGCTTTTTCTTGTTTTGTCAACTGAGAAGTAAAAACAGCTCTACGGCATGTTTGAGCAGCAGCAGTTATCTTCCAACGGCGCTCCTAAATGAAGATATAGTAAAACAGGAAGGCTCTTAAAGCTAGAGAGTGGAGTAAAAATTGTTGCCAAAAAATGAAAATAATTACTGTTTGATTCTACATAAAAACCAGTAGTACAAAAACACTCCAAAAGCAAAGGGTCCCGTGTATTGGAAACAAAACATGGTTTTGTTGATAAGGTCAAACCTGTACAAAATCATTGGCTAACCATGCCATTTCCTCAAGTACATAATCCCAATGAGATTTCCGACGAATCTCCAATGGAGAGGTAGCCATGGATAACTCCATCAATCTCTTTCGTTTTGCCTGTTCAATATATTAGGTCAGATCTCTTGGGCCTAACTATAAAGTCAATGAAAAATTTCTTCAATTTCATAGTGAATGGGTATATATTAAACATAATGCAGATATAACCTCCATGATTCCTGCCTCTTCCAAGATTGAGTCTTCATCAACTTTGCTTGCAAATAGCAAGTTGGGCACTGAGGAAATTTGTGCCTCAGATGCAACATCAGTAGAAACCCTAGCCATTGATGCCTTGGGAAATTTCAAAATTGAGGTATCAATAGAATCCTGATGACTAATGCTTGCAGGGTCAGGATTGTCACGTGAAAGGATGGCACTTTTCCTCTCTGATTCTGATACAGTGGGGCCACCAGCTTCTATTCCTTCAAGGATAACTTGAGCTTTCAACTCATTTTGCAAAGCAGGTCCACTTCCATTTAATTCTTTCCGAACATTGAGCACAATGCCATTCTCTTGGTGGCTTTGATAAGCAGAATTGCTCCGGACATCAACAAAAGTACTATTGTCATTAGCATTCGTCTCTTTCTTTTCTCTGACAAATTCATCCCTTGCTGCAACTGGAATCCCATCAAGCAATGACACTTGATTGTTGATGCTCCCATTTGAGTCAACATTTCTGATGTTAGCACACATGTGGCTTTCATTGTTTCCATCTATACCTAAAATGGTTTGAGTGCAAGATGACTCAGAATCCAAACCCTTTGTGCCCCGCTCTGTGCTGCTATTTTGAGCATTTTGAGCATAGTTTTTTATCTGATCATCGTTTCCACTACTGAGACCGTTCATATGACAAGAACTAGATTGATTCTCAACTTTGGTAGGAATAACACTTGGCTGGCACTCAACGACAGCAGATATCACCTCTTCCCTTGACTGGAATGGCTCAGCTCCATCAGAGGTAATTTGAACTGGAGATTTTTCAGCTTCAGAAACTGATTGTTGGTTGTGTTGATTGGCCAGAGGGTTTTTGGAAGTATTAGTATCTGATACACCATTTGGTGAACCATCTTTAATTGGGTTCTTAGTTGATTTTACAACCCTTACACAATCCAACTCCATATCACGCTGGCTGACTGAGGGTACAGTCATATGAAGGGTGTTCTCCATTGGACTTGTAGGCTTTGAGTTATAATTAGATGATCCATTTTGGCCGTTATAGTTTTCTGCATCAGAAACCAGTTCTTTTACATCCGTGGAGCCTTGGAGAGGTAAAGAAGAGATGTGACCACCACGAGTTAGAACTACACCTGCTGTACTTGACTTGATTCGATCATTATTCGGCCGGGACCTGTGCCTTCTCTTATATGCTTTCCTAGGGAGACTAAAAGCATCAGAATCCCCAAATTCTTTGACATTTTGACTCCCACCTATGTGAGATGACTTCTCTAATGGTGCAATGTTACCAATGCTAGGGAGTGAAGAGTTCTGATCACCTTCGGAAAATTCATTTTTACCATCAAATAACATGATATTATCGGCACTATTGGCCTCCGGAGGAGCTGCCCCAGGCCTACCACTACTTTCCACAGAGTCTCCATGAAGTGATGCTAGATATGCAAAACTGCCTTTTGCTTCGCTGCAATGACAGAATAAACAATAAGAGGACAAAACATTCATTGAACTTGAAGGGCTTGACAAATTAAAAATACAAAATAACTGCATAAAAATACCTAGTGACAAACCGATCGGGGTTGTGATTTTTCAATGAAGTTGACTGGACACTGACTGAAGCAACATTCCCAAGCATAAAATCCAAAGGATTTCCACCCTGCAAAAAATAAATGAAGCAGTCAAGCACCGCCAAAACTTAACAAAAATTCAGAAAGCCAATCAAGGTTCAGCTCCATACTTTCTCAAGATATTCCAGCTCTCTTCTCTTTTCATCTCGAACATTATACTCCTGCCTGTTACCAGAAGTAATTTTCCGTGGATATGACAAGAATAATTCTTAAAAACTAACAATAATTTGTAGGAGTTTCATATAAAGCAAGTAGCAATACCTAAGCTCTGAATGAACCTTCTCAATCTCAGCTCGCAGTGGAGAAGTTTTGCTACCAATACCAACTCCTCCCATAGAATCAACCTCAGCATCGACTAAGATTACAAATGCCGAAGTTCATCCAAGCATTCCTCCTTTAATAGCTACAGATGGTACCCTCCATTCATTCAAGACTTAAAAACTCCTACAAACAAAAACAGCAGAACTCAAACTCAATCACATGCAAGAAATTGGAATAAGAACATAAAACAGGCAAACAAATGTGCTCCCTGAATCAATTGGAAAAAGAGGGAAGGAGACTACTTTATCAACAAGATGTTTCAGCTTGGGGTCAGCGATTGTGGAATTTATATTATGAAACCTATTTATGCTACAACCATTAAAAAAATTCCTCATAAATACCATTGACTTAGAACCGTGAGATAAGTACATGTCAAAAAGGAAGGTGAGGATCCTTTCCGTCTTTTGCTTTTGTCTTGTCCAGACAGACTCAAGTTCAGGTCTTTTCCTGCCTCTACGCTTCAGGAAACTTGTTGGAGCATTTTTCTATTAACCAGTCAAGCTCACATAAAATGCACCTGATTCTAATTTTGGAAGTTTGTCATCAAAAAGCAACTTCACACAAGGAACATAACATGCACACGACATCCCATTTTAAATACCATGTAGGGAAGCCTGGCACAAAATTGGAAATATATTTGAATTCAGCTTGGTACCTCATAAGAGCTCTGAGAACATTAAATGTGTAAATTATATTTCCCAGTTGCCAGAAGATACGTTTCATGTTAACAATACTATTAGGCCAACCCAAAAAAATAAATTAAGATGAGATTTGGAAATAAATTTTGAAAACTCAGAATGCTTGTAATAAGACCTTTTACAGTCTCAAAATTAATAGTATGGCCGCAATAAAGTCAATTGCTGTGCATAGCACTAATTTACTAAAGGTCAAATTGCTTAAATTTGGGGAATAAAGTCATAGTTTCCCAAAAAGATTTTGCTAAAATTTACTCTTTTGAAAGGGAAAGAAAACAGATAATAAAAGCTGGTCATTCTCCTGTAATCCACCGATGCTAAATAGTCTTGTCAGGTATCACCATCTAATAACATGATATTACGACTAAATTTCGTCTCAGTCAACAGAAAGTAATCTGTAGTGAAAGGACTGAAACATTGCATGTAATGTGAATTCCAAATAATCATGTGTAATCATACATGACGTATAATATCCTTAAAATCAGCCTCGTGAAAGTACAACAACCTACAAGCATATGCACATACACATAACCCACAAACACATACATATATACACGAATTCATTTAGCACATACAGTCAGAGAAAGCAACATACAAGGGTATCTACAGTAACAGTTCTACTTGCAGTTAGGGGAGAGAGGATTGGATTTTCTCTAACATCAGTCGAGATCAAGGGGAGGAGAATTCCTATAAATGGTTCTGGGAATGAAAAGAACACATGAATAAAATAAGGAAGTTGCATCCACATGCATTGAATTGGATTGTTTCCTACTAACTAAATCTTCATAAAAAATTACTATATTAATCAATTAATCCAATAATCACACGCATTATCAATCTACTAACTTCAACTAAAATGAGTCAAAGTATTGTTTAAGTTACTTTTGTACCCATGCACACAGCAACAGCTATTAGAATCCTGTAAATACCAGCAGAAAATTCAATGTTTCTTTGCTCTTACTTGCAGCATTGTCTATATTATAGCTCTCAAATTCCATAACCAACCAATTAAAAACTTCAAAAAGGGA